ATCAGTAGCCAATTGGACAACCCCCTATAGAGGGGTCACAGGGAAGAAATGAGCCAGTCGGTGCAGTGTAGCACCGATGAAACACAACTTTCCTTTAGTTCTTTGGTGCTTCCTTCCCCCAACTATCACGACCTCAATTCTGTCTGGGCTGGGTCGGGACCAAGGCAGCCCCTTGTACCAACTTCTTGAGAAGACAAACGACCTGGCTGAATTCCAAAACACCTGAACTTCAAAGTCCCTACCTTCAGCGTTTCACAGAGCTTACCTCCCCAGACAGAACACGACCCCTCTCTCCCTAGCATTGTTTCCTAAGAACAAGATGACCTCCCCAACAGAACACAGCCCCCCTCTCCCTAGCATTGTTTCCTAGGAACAACATGATTTACTAACAAAATGTCATGTCATGTGACCCGAAACTTGAAACCACAGCACAAAGAGTCTCCCTTCCCCTTAGCAGCTCATGGCCTTTAAGCTCATACCCTGAGGGGTCAAGATTCCCCTGTCCCTTTCTCTGCTCGCCCTTCTCTCCTGGAGTTCTTTCCCTGCCTCAATAAAATCTTTCTCAACTTCACATTCCTGGCTAAATTCTATCTCTGCTCTGCGCCTCTGTCTCCAACCTTTCAAATTCTACCCTACAAATCGCATTAGACCAGAACATGCACACTGCCACAAATAAGAGCCCACAACACAGGGAATCCAGGATAGATAAACCCCTCAGGGTCAACAATGAGAGTAGAAATACCAGGAGGATTAGGTGAAGGTGGGGGGAGAAAGGGGGAGTCGATCACAAGGATCAACCTAGAACCCCCTCTCAGGGGGACGAACAATGGAAAAGTGGGTGAGGGGCAACAGAGGATGATGTAAGATATGAAAATAATAATCTATAACCTATCAAGTGTTCATGAGGGAGGGCTGGAGAGGGAGGGAGGGGGAAGAAATGGGGAGCTGCTATCAGGGGCCCAAGTGGGAAGTAAATGCTTTGAAAATGATGATGGCGGCATATGTGCAAATGTGCTTGACACACTGGATGAATGTATGGATGTGATAAGAGATGTAAGAGCCCCCAATAAAAATATTTCAT